AGGTGCATTAGGTAAATGTCTCTTACCTTCAAATATAGCAAATAAATGCTCTAATTTCCATTTTTTCAGAAACTCCTTTAAAGAATCTATATATCCTAAAATTTGTCCATAAAAAATGACAAATGCATGTTAATAACGATCACTAATTTGTTATACGATGTGCGTTTAAAAAGCAAATTATGCAAAATTCCAAGTGGAAAATTCCAAGCAACAAAACCCGTGCGTACTATGATGTGCAACCTATGAAATGCGGCGTACGACTGATCGGACTGCCGACTGATTGTATATACCGTCCTTCGTCATCGTCTTTGAGTGTCGTTATTATTTTTCTTCAAAAGAGTATTTAGCTATTGAAAAAATGGCCATGTTTCTTGAATGAAGTACTTTCTAGCGTATTTTTCTTATTATCTTAAAACAAAGTAACTTGCACTTGGTTGAATGAAAATAGATTCAAGAGAAATTTTCGAATTTTTCAAGAGAACCAGTTTTCTTGAGTTAACAGAGTTTTTCTTGAGGCAAAATATTTTCTTTTACGCTAAAATAAATTTTCTTGCCACTATTTTTTTTCAAGAACGATGAGGACTTTAGTTCAAGTCTATCTGTTTTATCAGTGTGGTGTTTCCCCATTTTCTCCACAGAATCTGCATTTGCAGTTGTTTCTGAGCTTCAATCTATGTGGTATCCTGAGGTTCTGGTGTTCGTTGAGGAGACAGTATCCTGTTAGAAACCCCGTGACAATTCGAAGATTGTTTTTATTTAAATCAAGGAAAACCTTTGACTTTTCTCGATCGTAAGTTCTGAGGAACTTTTTCAAGTCTCTTAGACCGTTGGAGGGTTCCCATTCCAGGTTACGGATGGCGTCTTCAGTTTTGCCCTAAGTTGGTTTCTGCTTGGAAAGCAGAACGGTTTTGGTCCAATTAGTGGAGTGTTAGCTCCTTTTCTAGCTAGATCGTTTGCTTTTTCATTGCTTTCTATCCGAGTTTATATCCCTTGGTGAGCGGGCATCCTGATTAGAAGAACTTTATTTCCTTTGCCTAATTCGTTCAGCTACTCTAGGCATTCTTTGACCAAGTTCGAATTGATAGTTACTGAGTTGATCGCTTTTAGTGCTGCTTGACTATCGGATAAGATGGCTATTTCCTGTTTTGGATAGTTCCTATTTAATTTGTACGCATCTTTCGATAGCGTAGATTTGTGAAGGATATTAGGGTAGGTGACCATTGGTTCAGAGTATTTAGTTTTCTGACCCTGCTTCGGTTTTGAAAGCATCAGTATACCACATTATGGCATGGTCTTTTACATGCTGAGCAAACGTTACAGTGAGGTGTTTCTTAAAGTTATAAATTCTTAGTATGTCATCTAGTAGGAGTTGGAGGAGTGGAATTTTCTTTTTGAAGGTGTTCCAAGCCCCTGACCTAAAAATTCTCCCAGTGCTGAATCCGTCAATGACCATTCGATAAGATCTAAGGTATTATATAAAATTTGTTTACAGAAATTCCATTTCGAGAAATAAACTCTCTTGTACTTCAACAATAAATTGTATTCCGCATCGTCGCAATTTTCAACAACACATTCTACTTACTTCTTGTTTATTTTTCCGCCCTAATTATCATATAAATTAGAATTAATTAAATTAATAAATTTGCTCGCAGACTAGCGACGACCGTTCCGAAAATATATTTCACTACTAATGGAAATACAGAGCGGACGAGCAGCGCAAAAAAGGTGCCAAGCATAATTGGAGTAATTTCTGCGTCAGAAGCGAGTAATTGGTGCTGGGCTGGATATACGTCCAAGCTTAAATTCGAGTAATCCATTCATTGGAATAAAAAGGAAAATTGTAGTATTGTACCTAAATAATTGTTGTTTAATTTTAAACTCTCTTTGAGTTACTGATGAGTATAATGTTAATTAAATAAAATACAGGTGTTAAATACGGTGATTAAATGAGATCTGATAATCTTAACACCACCAGTAATAGCCGATCGTGATGATTTACATAAAATCCTGTCTAAACTTAACAACTATAATAATTATACACATAATAACAACAGCGGTATAGCGTAGCGTCAATACAAAGGGATGTAATAAAGTAACTCCAATTCACATTTTACCAACACGATAAAGTTTTTTTTTTCTTTTTTTATTAAGTCTTTAATTAGAAGTTACAAAAATAATATATATAATAATAGTTCCAGTATATAGCCATGCTAAAGCCGTTCGGTATACAAGGAAGGTAATGTGGCTAGCACTACGCTTCAACCGCCTATTATTACCTCAGGATTCTGAATCCCAAGTACTCATTTAAGGCTGAGTCGACCTAGGTACCCAACCTATTTTTATTTTATTAAAAATAGTCGGCTGATGAAATGCCGGGTGTAGGATTCGAACCGATAGCCTTGAGATTGGTAGACTAGAGCTGTACCTCTACGCCACCTTATAAATACATATACAAAAAATATAACAAGTTAAAAAAATAATCAAATCAATTTAATAAAATCACTAAATTTAGGCAAAAAACAAAGCTGTAAACGTTAGAGAAAATAATAGATAAGACCATCAAAAAAGTTTATTGAGTGCCTTACATTACAGTTGGGGGTTGGAAACTTTGGTGTTACACAGCAAAATAAAAACTAAATCACCACAATACACCAAAACACTTTTACTTTTACACTGGACGCGCGTCCAGTGTAAAAGTGGACCAAAAGTACCATGTTAGCATCATCAGCAGATGATTATTTTCGTTATATGTAGCTGATATGAATAAGGAATTACAGTTTTCTAAATTGCAGCAATATGCATATGATTCTCAAATTTATTGCAGAATAGATACTAACAATTTGACACAATTTCAGTTAAATTTTAACGACGATCTTAATAAAATTAATAAATATGCTCTGGATCATAATTTGAAATGAAATGCCGGTAAATCTTGTGTTATAGTATTTGGTAGTGATATAAACAAAATTACAAATACGGCTGGTAACATGAATATCCATATAGATAATGTTGCGATACCCATTGTTACAGAGACTAAAAATCTTGGAGTCTATTTTGATGCGAAGCTTTCTTTTCAGGCACATATAACTACTAAATTAAAGGCTGCTTATATACGGTTGAAGAATGTTTCATCTCTTAAGAAATATATACCATCAAAGACTAAGTATCATATGTGACACACTTATTTTATCTTTATTTGATTATGTTGTTTATGTGTACGCTAGATTCTCTAGAAAAATCCAAATACTTCAAAACTCGTGTCTACGGTTTTCTTTTAACATTCCTTTTATTTTATCCATGACTAACAGACGACAATTTCATTTAATGACATTCATTTATCGAATTTTAACTACAGAGCAGCCTCCCTATTTGTTCTCATTGTTTCACTACGTTGACCATGATCATTCGACTAGACAAGTGCATTATTTTAAAATTCCTCAACACCGAACAGCTAACTTCCAAAAATCTTTCAGTTTCATAGCGCCACATTTGTGGAATAATATTTCTAATAACTTTAAATTTCAATCCTTTACAGATTATAAAAAACAAATTAAAAATCATTTACTAAATTCGTAAATATTATAATTTCTTCGACTGATTTGTGAGATCTTGTTCTTCTAATATGCCCGTCATTGGTTGCTGTTCCGGTTTTTACACTGTTTCATTATGCCTCTCTGCTTTTCTCCGCTCATCCCTGATAAAATTATATTTTCACTTTTTTTAATTTTGTTTATTTCTATAATTTAATTTATTTCTATTTTGTATTTGGGGTCGCACCACTCTGGCACTTTGTGCCATTGAATTTGAATTTGAATTTGAATTTGAATTTGAATTTGAATTTGAATTTGAATTTGAATTTGAATTTGAATTTGAATTTGAATTTGAATTTGAATTTGAATTTGAATTTGAATTTGAATTTGAATTTGATTAAGACTAATCTAAAAAGTACAATTTGAGCGTTTATATACTCGCTCAGTGGGTCCCGAGTGGGCGTGGCAAGATCTAGCCAACCGAGTCAGAGCCCACCGAGCGTAACACTTAAATTTTCGCCACTAGAGTAGTAGGAACAAAGAACTTGAAGGAATTGGACCGTTGTCTCTGTTCATACTATCTTTACATTTATTAATTCTGATGCTTTTATATGCATCTAATTGCCTGTAATTTAAGACTTGTTTAATTAATTTTAAATTATTAAGATCTATACAATGTTCTTTATCAACAATATGTTCAACAACGTAAGATTTATCCGGCCTACCATATCTTATCTGAGCTAAATGTTCTTTAAATCTAGTCAATATTGATCTTCTAGTTTGCCCAACATATTTCTGATTACAATCTTTAAAAGAAATTTCATAAATACCCGACCTTTTTTTTTAAAACCGCATTATCCACCGACTAAAACAGCGAACGGAAGACGTAATCGCGGCCGGAAAGTTCGCTGACTCCGGCTCGCTTTCAAGCAAGATGTAACGAGGACAGTCGCATCATCGCGCTGTCAAGATATTTTTATTTTTAGCGTTTAGCGTAGGTCTTAGAGTTATGTATAAAGCTCGACTGAATACACACATTAAATAATTGAAATTGAATTTAATTATTTGAGTAAATTTACTGAGAATTTTAATTTATTATAGGAGATCTCAGTGACTTTTTAAATAAAAACGTATTACAATATTTCAAGGAATGCAACGCAGTACAAAAAAAAACAATGAAAAAATAAACAAAGTACAAAAATTACAAAAAGCAAGATTTATACCTTGAGCTCCTGAACCCTACCAAGCTACGAAGCAAGCATGATATTAGTTATTCATTTTTTATTACTAACAATCGAGACGATGCAAATGCTAGTCGTTTCTGTCTAGATCTGCCTTTCTGTCCTCCCATGAACCACATATTTGAGACTAGTTAATAACAAATTACTTTGTTGTATCTTTCATATTTTTAAAGAAATATTTTTGTTAATATCATATGACTTTTAAATAATTATTTTCTTTTATTTACAGCTCCAGAATCGCAAACTCAATCGGTATGCAGCATATTAAGCGACATGTTTTCCTTGGGCATGGTCCTGTGTTCAATATTCAACCAAGGACGACCACTGATACAAGCAAATAATTCCAGCTCTTCGTATCTAAAGCAATTAGAACTGGTAAGTATATTGTCCATCTACTTTATTGCTATAATTAACATTTTAATTAATATCTTAATTAATATATAAGGTGCCAAGAAAATAGTGTGTACAGGGTGGGTCAAATTCGATGCTTTTAAATGGAAACACCCTTTTCTATAGGAGATAGACGAAAACTAATATCGGTGTCTGGAGCTCAATTTTCATCAAAAACATGATGGCGAAAACCGCACATCAATATCTGTTACCGTTTCGGAGTTACGGGGTGTTTTTCAAAAATGTACATTTTTAACAAATCGCTGTAACTTTTTTGCTATGGAAAATTTTGTATTTCTATGAAAACATTTCCAAAACTCCTTTTTACGTAGAATCTAATGGTTTAAGTATAATTTTTTAAATATTAATAATTTAAGAGTTATCAACAGAAAATTTGATTTTTTATTTGGGACACCCTCTATATTTTTAATTAACATAAAAGAATTTAAAATTACCTTTCCAAAAATATAGCACTCTCGATATTTTGTTATAATCCCCTTCGAAATACAGAGTTTTTAAAAGTTCGCCACTTTTAACTAGTAGGCTTTGGACCCCTTATTGATGATATGCCCTTAATGGAACTCGAAAACATATTTTTCCAGCAAGACGACGCACCTCCTCTGAACGCTGAAGTTATCAGCAAATTTTTGCAGCCAATTTCAAGAATAATTGAATAGCTAACCAAGATCCCAGCCGTTGGCTGTCGATGCCGCCTGACTTATTACCCATGGATCTAATCCTACGGATATATTTGCGGAAGAATAAAGGCTCCTTATTCTTCCGTATAATCTAGACAAGAATTAGAAATACTTAGCAGTTATGAGAGGGTATCTTTAACCCCTACTGAGTTAATGAATTCCGCGAGAAATGTTTAAAAACTGCCCCGTCTGTTCATAACAGAAAACGGTTGATATGTCGAACACCTGTAGCAAAATCTCATGTCTTGGTTTGCTATTTATTTTTATTTTTATTAGATATAGTTTATACGTGATGATTGTTAAATATATTTTAATTTGTTATAAAATTCTGCATCTCTCATAGCAAATATTATTTTCGTTTTAATTGATGCTCACAGCTAGAACTTTTTTGCATTACAGCTGGTGCCGTGCAAAGCCTACTTATTTAAAGCGGGCGAATTTTTATATACTCTATATCTCGAAGAGAAATCGAGCAAAATATCAAGTGTGGTATATTTTTGGAAAGGTAATTTTAAATTCTTTTCAATAAATTAAAAATATATAGGGTGTCCCATATAAAAAAACAAATTTTCTCTTGATAATTCTTAAATTATAAATTTTAAAAAAAGTATACTTAAATCATTAAATTCTACGTAAAAAGCTGCTTTGGAAATGTTTTCATAAAAATACAAAATTTTCCATAGCAAAAAAGTTAAGCGATATGTTAAAAATTCATATTTTTGAACAACACCCCGTAACTCCGAAACGGTAACAGATATCGATATGCGGTTTACACCATCATGTTTTTGACAAAAATTGAGCTCCAGACACTGATATTAGTTTTTGTCTATCTCCTCTAGAAAAGGGTGTTTCCATTTAAAAGCGTCGAATTTGACCCACCCTGTACAGGGTGTCCCACTAAGAATAGCTCTCGGCTGTATCTCGGAAAGTATTAGTCGTAGAGCTTGCGGAAAAAAATATTTATAACTAAAGAGAGCATGAGAAATTGCTGGAAATTATTTTCAAGCTTGTATAGCGGTCGATAGAGGGCGCAACTTCTATTAAAAATAAGAAAAAGGAGTTTTTACGCCATTTTGCCTAGATAACGGATACTATAAATAACAGATTCATAATTTTCAGTAAATTTTGCATATTTTTTGTTAGAACTATTTTCCCCTATCTGCCAAAATAAGATGGTGGTGGAAGGTTAGATCTGTTTTTATTTAAATATTAATAACTCCGGACTGGATGAATGGAATTTAACAAACGGGGGCTCGTTTAAAAGAGCGTTTCTTACTCTATAATATAGCGTATAAACAATAATAATAAGCTTTTGAATGTAGACGCTAGGGGGCGCTTTCTTACAATTTAACAAACATTGTGCGTTTTTTCAAAAAAAAATAAATACGATAGTATATGTAATTTTAGCTGATGGTAAAGAGTAACAAAAGCTTAACAAGTCAGCGAAAACCGCATCTTGATATCCTCTTTCAAACCGAAGATATTAGCAAAATTATAATAAATACGAAAAAATAGAACCTTAATTACCTTATTACCTACTTATTTTTTTAACGCGGTTACATTAGCCCTCTTCATTATGACCATTCTAATAAAAAATAGATTAGAAACGTTTAGTTTATTCTAAAATCGACAATATACCAGAATACGATAATACCAGATGTATTAATATCTAATAATTAAGATATCGAAAAAAAGATGCTTTTTACGTAATAGTATAAACGTCAAAGAGTTATTAAATCAACATTTTGATAGTCTTAGCAGCGTTTTTTCTCTTTTGAATAAACGCATTTTTAGAAAAGCAATCAAAAGATAAAAAACGCTGCAGAGACTATCAAATTGTTGATATAATAATATTTTGAGTTTAAACTATCTCTATAAAAGTAACTTTTTTCTAAAGCCTACCATGAATTCACTGAGGCGTCGTTTCTTAGTCACTTTCATTGATAACTTAATTATTAGACATTAATACACCTAGTATTATGGTATTCTGATACATTATCGATTTTTTGAATGAAATAATTTTTTCTATCTTATTTTTTATTAGAATGGTCATAATCAAGAGGGCTAGGGATACCGTGTTAGAAAGATAAGGTAATTAAGGGCTTATTTTTTCGTATTTATTAATTTATTATAATTTTGCTAATAACTTTGGTTGGAAAAAAGATATCAAGATGCGGTTTTCGCTGAATTTTTAAACTTTTATTACTCTTTAGTATCAGCTAAAATTACATATACTATCGCATTTAACTTTTTCGAAAAAATACGTAATGTTTGTTAAATTGTAAGACAGCGACCCCTAGCGTCTACGTTCAAAGGCTTATTTTTATTGTTTATATGGTATAATATAGAGTAAGAAACGCTCTTTTAAACGAGTCCTCACTTGTTGGATTCCGATCCACCAGTCCGGAGTTATGAACATTTAAATAAAAACAGATCTAACCTTCCCCCACCACTTTATTTTAGCAGATAGGGGAACATGGTTTTAACAAAAAATATGCAAAATTTACTGAAGATTATGAATCTGTTATTTATAGTATCCGTTATCTAGAAAAAATTGTGTAAAAACTCCTTTTTCTTATTTTTAATAACAGTTGCGCCCTCTAGCGGCCGCTCTACAAACTTGAAAATACTTTCCAGCAATTTTTCATGCTCTCTTTAGTTATAAATATTTTTATCCGCAAGCACTAGGTCTAATACTTTCCGATATATGTATAGCCGAGAGCTATTCTTAGTGGGACACCCTGTAGAGTGAACTACAGTGGGTGATTCTACAGATAAAAATGAAACATAAAATTCCTATGAACATATACCCTAACATGCTTCCCGAAGAAATTACAGTCCTCGAAAGGTTAAATAAAAATAATATATTTTGTATATTTTTAAGAACATTGGTAAATGTTTTTTTTTTTAAATTTGGTACTCTTACACACATTTTAATGCAAAAACGAATGGCGATAGTATAAAATTCTGTAACAGCCCGGAAAGTGTACCATTAGGGTAGAAACTACTTCTGGTGGTACTTCTTTTATTCTACAGATAAAAATGAAACATAAAATTCCTATGAACATATACCCTAACATGCTTCCCGAAGAAATTACAGTCCTCGAAAGGTTAAATAAAAATAATATATTTTGTATATTTGTAAGAACATTGGTAAATGTTTTTTTTTTAAATTTGGTACTCTTACACACATTTTAATGCAAAAACGAATGGCGATAGTATAAAATTCTGTAACAGCCCGGAAAGTGTACCATTAGGGTAGAAACTACTTCTGGTGGTACTTCTTTTATTTTTATACAGTGTCCGGCAATAGTGCGTCGGGCATCTGTAGCTCCTAGAATAAAAAACTTGGGAATTTTGTTTAACTTCAAACATAAAGTATGTACTAGGATGTATATCAGGAAAATATTTTAACTTCTATAGGGTGGCTCAAAAAAGTGTGAGTGGATCGGGATGCTTTTTTTTAAATGTATTATTTGTATAATATATTATTTTTTATCTGTAGAATTATTATTAGCATAGCATATTTAAATAATTAAGTTGGTTTGAATTCGTATTCACTAAAAACTCCACTGCGGTCGCGAGGATCTATAGTGGCTCAGTTTCTACAATCTCTTTAATAGAAAAAAAGCATTAAAGTTCACCCTCAAGACCCAGCCTTTTAACATAGGCTCTTATGTCCGAGGGTGTTATGTCTCCTAGGTCTGATAGGTCTAGCGTGATTTTGCCAAACACCTCAAACCTGGTCCTGCCCCCAGCGGGGCAGGTACACATAACGTGCGTCATTGTTTCGTTATCTTCCATATAGAGTCGGCATTCGGCGTCTTCCACCAGTCCCATCCTCTGTAGGTGTGATCTCAGCCGGCAGTGGCCCGTGTTTTTTTAGGTCCAATTTTCTTAGATCCAATTTGAACTATATTCTGTTTAAGACGTAATTCTATCCCTAATATGCTTAAATAACTCAACCAACGCAACTGAGCTCTCAAGTAGTTTAAAATTTAGTCACTTACTGCCCCTGACCTTAATTCGTCCCTCTGGTATTCGAAGTACATTAGAATTATTTAGACCCCCTTGAAAATGCAAAGGCGGACTTTAGCCGCAACACAAAAGCCATCTCCATTTCTGAATCAGACACTTGGAAGTAATTACTCTCTTAATCTTGTTTACAGGATCCTTTCGTGCGAGTGCCGAAACTCTGTCAAAACAACGTTTAAAAACTTGTTTCTAATTAAACGTTGTTTACCGAAAGGCTTTGAAGTTGCCAAAGCCGATCTGATAAAAAAGAAC